GTTCAAAGTATCGGATGTCTCGTGCGATTGTAGCTAACTGACAAACGAACTGATGATAATTTTAAACAAAGTTATTGATTTTATTATGTATTTTAATTTGTTGTATTTATTTTAACTTCTTATTTAAAGAATTTATTGTTGATCTTATTATTATAAATATACTAATAGAATGGGAAATGTCTGTTGCGATTAAAGCTTATAGACATACACACTCAATAATAAAAAAAAAAATACCTAAAATAAGACAGGAAATAGAGCAGGAACACTTGGATAACTAGAGTACTTACCCCAGGGTTTTCTGCATCTCCTGACGAGTCCTTGCCCGATCGCGCGATTGAGGTTCTTTAGGATCGCTCAAGGTACGATTTGAGAACCGTGACACAATCGTAATAGAACATTTGATTCAATACGAAAGTGCTGCGATCCTACCGACTGCGCCAGTTAAGTAATCGGCGATCGGTATTCCAATAAAAAAAGATTTATTTAATTAATTACAAGGTGTTAACTGTATGACAATTTGGAATGGACTGATTTATAATTACAAAAACTTATGAACTAAAACTAATGGTGTCAGCGTTCCTTCGATGCGCCTTCGCCGTGCTGAGTCTGCAGTAATCGCGGTTATGACGTGCTAACTCCCTACAGTAGGAGTAATATTTAAAAAAAAAGTAAAACAAAAAACTAAAATTAAAATTACTGGGATCGCTTGACATTTTAATGCAGATTGATAGTAACTACAAAGAGATAAAATTTTAAACTATTACAGAACAAACGTATTCGTCTGCCGTATTGTTTACTCCAAACAATACATAATTATCTTGATATTAGTGATAATTAATTACTCCGTGTATAACGGGTTAGAATGCGAAATTAGAACTAGTACAACAACAATAAATAAGTGCATAAACAATTTTCTTTATTCATTCTTTTTCAGTTCGCGAGACAATAGAACATAATTTTATTGTATCTGCAATTTTAATGGAAGTACCATAAGCCCCTTAATATTAATGAAGCTACGGCCTTAATCGGTTTGTCGCAGAAGTATTTAGGTTGAAATTATTTAATTACAGCGGCTATAATGAAACAGATATTATGGCCATGAAACTAAATTCTTCAACTGTGAATTTTCTTGACCTTTTTATATGTGAAAGTTGCCAAGTGAGCAGACGGTTCACCTGATGTTAAATGAATACCGTCGCCCATAGACATCTGCAACACCGGAGGGTTTCAGATACGTTGACAATCTTTGAAAATTGGGCTCCGGCTACCTCACTCACCGGACGAAACGCAAAAGTATTATACTTCCACTTTACGCCGGTCTTCTGTGAGGTCGTGGTACTTACCCGGACGAGCCGGCCCATTCGTGCAACAGCCGAGGCTGCTGCGTGGCTCTACCACCGTAAACAACCTCACATATACGAAGAACTCAAAAACGGTAATGGTGTGACTATCAATTTCCGAATATTATAGTCCAAAAATGAGGATATAGACGCGTACAAAAAAAACATGAAATATTGTTTCTTGATATCCTTGGTGTGGGTATTTATCGCGTGAGCTTAAACGTTATGAATTTTCCGAAACCTTAGAAATTTAGAAATAGGTTAAACGCGATAAGATCTGTGGTTTCTAAAATGTGAGGTATTTTCATAAATAAAAGAAATTTATGCTAAATGAAATAACAAAATAATATATATTTTTTCTATGAAAAGCAGGCAATCGATGGGGCGTTTGCAACGGCAAATTGTATATGTGCTCTGGAGTTGCAGATATTGTCTTCTTCCGTCTGTGTTAGCCAAAGAAGGTTCAATTGTCTAGCAGCCCATTTTTTTGAAGTAATGCTTCTTTTGGTGCGTTTGGGAAAAAATTATGAGAGTAAAATTTTCACGATCCACGCGCAAACCGACCCTCAAAAAGCAACATGATGAAGTTAATTGCAAAGCAACGAACTTCACGGTATTATAATGCAATTGATGATTTAAACACTTTTTTATATCTGCTTCTTTGTGCGCTCTAGAGATCAAAAATGCATGCGCTTATTTTGATAATTCTTATGTCAATTGAATTGTCTCGCGACTATAAAGACATGGCAGCAGTCAAAATTTTATAATAGCAAATAGAAGAATTAAGAAAGCATATTCGCCTTTTAAAATAGTTTAGCTTTCGGGTTATTATTTCATTGTTTTTAAAGCGTAGGCAACGTTTACCTCACTTATAAGGCAGCATGTAAATTACTGTCACTTCAAGGACAGAACATAAAACTATATTACTCTCACTTCTAGCCCCTTTTCTGTGAGGCCGTGGTACTCTTTCCTGTTCATGCATGGAACAACAGAAGTTGCTGCTTAACCAACGATAGACAACATATAAGGAGTCTTCAAGGCAAGAGTGAATAGGTTTTTACTGAGCGAGCGCGCTCACCATCAACAGCTGCATCGCCACTTACCATCAGGTGGGAGGGCAGTCAAGTGCCGGCCAGATTTGAATTTAAAAAAATATGTATATTCTATTGACATTCGTTCGTCTTAATCTTTAATATATTGATGAACTTTACGTGTTCACTCCTTCCCATTGTAAGTACAATAATGCTGTAACTTACATTAATGCTGGCTCTCGCGGGCTATACAAGCATTAAATGTGCGTTATCTACGTACACGTATATACATGTTATTACCGGATGAAAATCATCAACATTTTTGATTTGACAGTCATCGACCAGTCGCTAGGAATGATTTTAATCCATCTGGAGAGCAACTCGCCCGTCTCGTGGCTCCATAAGAAATTATTCAAAGGCATTGGATCCGCTTCGGTTTCGTTCAGACAAAATCCCTTTGTAGGCTGTGAAATTGTTTAAATTCGTCCACGATAATCTCGCGCAGAGCTGCCGACGCGAACCTAATAAGCCGAGATTTAATTTCGTCGGCCAAAATTAATTTAACTCACGAAAGAAGCTATTGCTGTTCGTAGTCATTCAATAAATAATAATAAAATACGAGGCTTGTGATTAATGTTGACACCTTACCCTCCCCTTCACGCCTTCGGTACCTTTTGGGTAACGTAGGTTTTTATTGTGCTAGGTTAGAAAAGTCCGCTGTTTTATCAGCAGTAACAACATTGAAGCGTTTACTACTATAATACTAAAAACTACTCTAGCAAAGTTAATGGCAATCATGTTTTATAGTACTTATTTATTGAAGACTGGTTTGCACCGAAATCAAATGAGAGGTAACAACGATTTTTGCGTTTTTAACTGAATTAGAGGTAAAACTTCGTTCTTCGAAACTCATTTGAACACGCAACTAATTAAGTCGTCATTGTCTCTTAGCAAAAAAGAGGGAAAATCAAAAAATAATTGAATAATTTTCCCTATGTAATATGTGGCGACCTTTCTGACAGAGACAGTATCTTGTATTAACTGATGTCTCTGCTTTCAGTCCCGAGACTATTAAAGCTTCATCTGACGCAGAACCGGTGCGCTAGCCAGAACCCTCGGGTTTGGGCACAGAGACAATGCTAAAGTCATTCCTAATGTAAACAAAATTCATCCAAGATTAAGTAACTGGTGGTGGTTTCCCTAGTTGTATCCTGATATATTTTATAGTTTAGAGTTAATATTTAGTTGAAAGTAGTAAAAGAGGTAATTTTATGTAAGTAATAGTCTCAAAAGCGTAATGTAACGTTTTATTAGTACGGTACGAATTAGCGCTATCTGTACAGGCTTACAAGTACGAACAATATTTTATTTTACTATGGAATTGTTTCATCTATACCAACACAGATGGCGTTATAGAACTGAAAAAAAAAAAAACCTTGCGAAGGCTCAACGCTTCGCCTCATATATCTTTCTAGTTTAACGCTTTTAAACTAGATGGCGCTATAACAGAACACCAACTTTGAATACATGCTACTTTGAAGTCTTCTGAAATTTTTGTTATAAATTGCAATTTTTTCAAATCACAGAAATTTGTATACTTTAGTATATTATTGTTTATCTTTTTGTTTATTTATTTGCCTTATTTATTGTATAATCTGACACCGTAGGATGTCATCCTAGATAGTAAACGCCCTAGCTCAAATCATAATCGGAAAACATCAATAAATCATAATCGGAAGGAAAACCCGACGTCGGAAAACTGTACCTCCTTATTTTCTGATTTCAAAACGTTACTGAGGCCAGTCTTGTGGTATTCTTTACGTGGAAAGTTGGCGAATGAGTAAGCGTAAGTTCTAGCTGGGTCGCGCATCCTTAATAAATTGAGCCGCAGTTACCCCACTTACCAGACCAAACGCGAAGAAATAACATTTCTATTTCACGCCCATGGTCTTTGAGGCCATGGTACGTAGCCGGACGAGCCTATCAGAAACAAAAGATTCAGGTCAATATGTGTAAAATTTCGTATGTAACTCAAGAACACAGAGCTCTAGTTATCAAAAATCTAATATCAGAAATAAAACCTATTCTTTTATCTTAGCAATAACTATTGAATGTTTCAGAGAACCGTATTGGTTTTTACGCTTATTTCTTATTCCTATAAATAAAGTTCAAGTGACTGCTCCTATCGGTATGCCGTTATAAAATTGATGGGTGATAAAACATTTATTTCAATGCACTGTACATTTGTAGTGACGCATAAAATATTTACGTGATGATTTTTTTGATCTATTTATATATATTTGTAATACACTATTTTCTATTTGGTGAATGTAACATCTTAGCTAGCGAGGGTAACGTTGATGTATCTGTGAATGATGTAGCAAAGATAGTTATAAATACAATTGGTGCAGATTCCGAAAAATCGAGTAATAAAGAATTGAAGGAGAAATTAAATAAAATCGACAATTACGTGGTTGATAAAAACAAATATGCGATGCTGCTCAAAAATTTAACAGCGGCAACAGATTTGAACGAAACAAACTTTTTCAATGCACTATATAGAGGAGATCATTACCAGGCGCTGGCAGGGAATGAGAGCAAAAGCTTATATTTAAAGTTGAAAGAAAAGATGAATAGAGACGATATTATATCGATATTGGCCAAAAGAGGGAATTCAAGTAGCAAATTAACCCAGTCTGCGAGGAAAGCTATTGGGATTGACTATATCGACAGATCTGATGACTATAGTGATGACGAGGATCGGAACATAGTTTTGGACACGGTTGTTGATGAGATCATAGCTGAAACACCAAGAGATGATCACAAATATGATTTTAAAGCTAATAACGGTCTTTACTGGGGTAAGGTGGCTTTGAGTTATGTACAATACAAAGGCCAAATATTAATGATTACCTGTGCCCGCGACTTTGTCCGCGTGGATTTATTAACTATACATTCATATTCATTTAGTAAAAAGCGGTTATTTTAATACTACAAACAGACACTCCAATTTTAGATATCTTTAACTAGCACTAGTTAAATATAGTAAGTTAATGCAGTCCGTTTTTTTTTAATAACTAAAAAAAATTTCTCGTGTTTTTTCAATTATAATAAAAAGTTTCTATCACACTCATACATTTCATATTTACTGCAGATACAAGCACTAAAAATAAAATAATCATAAATCGTTAATACATTATTAAAGCACTGTATTCATATCTGAAGAGTGAACAATATATAATATTTAACAAAAGTTATACTTACACTTTTTATAGTTTGAATACTTTTTTAACGTAATAAATAATAAAAATAATAATAAAGGTATTAATACCTGGTATACCAATTACCAAATAGATTTTATGTAGCTTACAGGTAGTTAATTTAGTGTTAAACAAGATGGTGAACCTAACCGTCGAATACCACCAGACACAAGTGTGTGAGTGTGAGTGTGAGAATCCATTGATTTGAAGGCACCCTAAAGACAAAAATATGTCGCCCAACTATTCTTCTTTACGCAGACCCTCAAGGAGAACTTGAGGACCTCAAGGAGTACCACCAGCATGACGGCAGGCGCATCTTCAAAGGGGAGCGAACTACGATCAAGAACTACCCCTTCATGGTGTCAGTGCACGTGATGGGGCGGTTCTGGTGTGGGGGCGTTCTCTACTGGCACGACCTGGTGCTGACGTCAGCAGCCTGTTTGCAGCTGTGAGTAAATTCAAATATATCCAAAGGGGCAAAGGGTTCTCCTGATGGTTAGTGATCACCAGATATGGACATCTGCAAATTCACTGTGTCTCTCATATAAATAAGCAAGGGACTACTTTAAACTTTGAATTATAACACACTCTGGAAATGAATTGATCGCTCCAGGCTCTTTCAAGTGGAATTTAATAAATTGTATGCATATTTGTTATTTTTGGTCAATTTAAAAAAAATGTCCCGCTGAGTTTCTTACGCCGGTTCTTCTCAGGTCAGTGGCGGTGGTAGAGTCTTTCTTGACTTTCAATAAGTAAATGTAATGCTTCTATAATGAATAAAGATATTTGACTTTGACTTTGACTAGACATTAAACAGTCAGTAATGCAATGTTTGGTCCGGCAAAAAGTGTTTGTAACATACCATTATTTAGGTAGGTTTCTTACATTTATATGGAGAAGTATATCGTTTAATTAAACATACACCACTGTAATATCAGTAATCAATTTGTGACTGACTTTTTGAATATAAAAAGTCAAGTATGGAAATCAGATTTGAATTGGTGATCGCAAATTGGCGAGTCCATACTGAATCTCTTTCGCTCGGTCATTGTCATCGCTTGTTGAGCTAACTGCATTGTTCACTTTAGGCATTGCTTTTATTTTATAATTATTTTTGTTAATTTAAAGACTCAATACAATGCAGTTTATTAAAAAATCTATAGAATGCACAACAATCGATTCTTCCGAGAGAACCCGAAAGTGCTACAAGTTAGAATTGGGAGCAATCATAGCAGAATCGGTGGAGAGATGGTCGACGCACTGGAGGTGAGTGTAAATTCACTATCATAATATGTTTTTCATCATTACGATTAGTTTCGTTTACCGTAAATCATCAACATAATTGTAATATCAAAGCATGATTTGTGTGTGACGTGAAAGCGCATATTTAAAGATATAGTATCTAGCAATTAAGACATTCATAGGAACTCAATAGATACTGACCTACACTCTAATGGACGAAAAATTTTAATTAATTAAATTCTATTTTCAACGAACGATTGATTATTGATAATTGTGAGGATGAAATTTGACTTACAAAATCCCGTAAAACAAACAGTCGACGGTCACTAAGATTTAAGCCCGTTATTGGATCCCAAGCCTGGCAAAGCTACTATGGCTGCACAATCAGACATTTTAAAGCTCCAATAGCTCAGATTTTACTGTATAGGTCTACTTCCACCCGTCGTACGAGCCACGCACCCTCCGCAACAACATTGCGATGATCCGCCTCCGCTACCATCTCTACTTCAACTACCACCGCACACCCAAGATTATATCCATTTCGCACGAAGCTGGCGGAGTGCCATCCACCGCCGAAGTACTTCTCTTAGGATGGGGAGTAAAGAAAGTGAGTGCGAACCAGTCGAATCCTCTGACAATATATTTGTTGTAATTTTTTTATGTGATTAATTGTCAAGCGTGCATGCAATTCATCCAGCGTTAGGTGATTACCACCGCACAATGAACATCTGCAACACCTGAGGGTTTGTAGACGACTTGAAAACCTTTTAAAAAGTGGGACCCGGCTACCTCCCCCATCAAACGAAACGCGAAGTTAAATACTGTATACAACATGTTATAGAGGTTGCGTGACATATATAGTTACCAAATGACACCAATTAATAATAACTTGTATTTTAAAACGCACATGGTTTGGAAGGGGAATTTGACGCTTACTGTGCTATTAAAAGATGATTAAAAATCTTATGAAAACCTCTGATTTTAGCTCTCCCAAAAGCTGTCCTTTGAGCCAATTTTCCTTCAGAGGAAACTTCTTCCGGTTTATCCGAACATCTTTTGTAAGGAAGTTTACGGAGAGTAAGTTTATTATTGTTTATTTATATTTATGAATATTTTATAAACTTAACTACACTGTTAAAGCAAATACAAAGTAATTATTCTCACCTTTAGAACTTAAAAAATTCAATAAAAAATACTTAACGGTCTCGTTTTCATTACTTTCCCATTTAACTGCATTCCAAAAGTTGCATAACTTTAAACTACGAATTTGGCAGAAGGCGAGTTCGCAACATAAGAACTTTCCTACTTCGTACCTTCCTTACAGCCTTTTATTCATGAAAGAGCAACTTTAAATCATTTGCTTCCCTTGCAGAAAATTCATTTCCTCGTCTATGTTCTGCGCTGGCACCATGACAACCGGCGAAGGTGCTTGCGCGGTGAGTCTTAATTAATTTTAAAAGTCCTAATTACAGACATGAATCTTCTATCTAAGTATTCAGTACCGCTCTTGGCAATTGTTCGATGAATTTCGTCTTATTATACGTAAAAGTGAGGAAAAACCTTTCCATTATTATTTTTAAGACATTGAACTTGTTATTTATTTTTTATATTTATCCATTAGTTTAATAAAAAAGGAGATATACTTTCTTGCTCACGAAGAAACTAAGTGTAAGCATTTAAAATATTATTGATATTATAAAATATGCCTAATAGGTCTTGTTCAGTAGTGTACTAGTTCACGCTGAAGTTATGATGATGATGATGATGATATTATAAAACTGGCATCACAAATTTTGGTGGTTACTAAAAGGCAGACTATAATCTCGGCAGCAACTTAATCTACTGTATCGATGTACGCTTATAGCATGATGCGGGTGGTCCCGCTATCATCGGTGGTAAACTGGTGGGCATAATATCGTTTGGACCAACCATTTGCGGTTTCCCCAACGCGCCAACCGTTTTCACTCTTGTAGGCGCCTTCGCTGACTGGATAGAAACTGTCAACGAGTCGGTAAGACAATCCATCAGAAATTGCAAAGACGTTATCGTTTTATTAAACGAATTAAAACTATCCAAAAAGAAGATTTTCTTGGATAAGAGTTGTCAGTACTATGTAATGTAAAAAGCCTTTGAGTGATTAATTTGTACATGTGTACATTTGGACATGTTGTAATTCTGTTACTATGATTAAATTAGTTCATGTCTATTTCTATCCTTCTTGGCCATTATGAAAAGGACGCATTCTGGCAAGTGGTTCACTTCATGTTAAGTTACGCTGTAAGTGGAATATAGAACAATTTCTAAAATCTCTTTATGTGACAAGTGGGGAGCAATCAGATGTTAAATGATGCATCAACAAAATCTATGAAGATTCAGCTTACGAACTTTAAAAGTTTGAACAAACGCATAACTATACATACTAATTCATAACGCCAGTCTTTATTGAGGCCGTAGTAGTTCCCAGGACGCCATTCTTGGTGCAACATAGATTATAGGTAATTATTACAGTGAATAGTTTTATTCTATAACGTTAAAAGCGATTGATTCACCAAGTCATAAACCCCAAACATTTCTCTGGTCCTTCTAAGGGTATGTGCCAAAAGAGCTTTTACAAGTCAATAATAACATCTACCATATTAATATTTTATATAAACATTCCGTCAAACATCTGTAAACACTATTTATTATAACCCATTACGGATATCCCTGATCTCGTGGGAACGTGAGACGGGGAAGCTTGTATTGCTTATCGTTTATAATCTCCAGATGCCGACTTACTACGTGGGCAAGAAAGTAACGACCACCATCAGCCCCGAGCTAGCTCTGAAATACTTCGACTTCGGACGCTACACTAGGCACAAGAGCAAGTACTACGGACTACACAAAACGACGCCACCAAAAACTTCACCCACTGCCACGACGCTGAGCCAGTTGAGCTTCCGAAGGCCCAGGTTCGACGAGGACGTGAGCACGGAGTGAGATCACAATGTGTATTTTGTACCGAGCCAGGGCGATTGTTTAATCAAAGCTCATTGGCTGGAATGCTATTCAAATACTGATCGGCGCGGTATAAAATCTTGTCTTTGTGGAAATGATGTAAAATGTCTTACAAAATGGTCCAAATTGGTTTAATGTCTTTGTTATTTCAATAGCTTTAGCAATTATGCCTACAAACGAAACGAGTTACAATACAAATTGCCAATAAAAAAGGATTGTGTTAAGAGTGAATTTTAAATTTCACCCATAAATACTTTAAGCACAGAATTTATTATGTACACTTCAGTTATTTCTTTTGGTTGTAAAAAGAATTTGTAACAATTTTAAAGTTCAGGGAGTCTTAACATTTTTGTGCGAAATAACATGAATGTGACTTAATTCTGACATGATTCTTGAAATGACGAATGAATGTGACTTAATTCTGACATGATTCTTGAAATGACGAATGAATGTGACTTAATTCTGACATGATTCTTGAAATGACGAATGAATGTGACTTAATTCTGACATGATTCTTGAAATGACGAATGAATGTGACTTAATTCTGACATGATTCTTGAAATGACGAATGAATGTGACTTAATTCTGACATGATTCTTGAAATGACGAATGAATGTGACTTAATTCTGACATGATTCTTGAAATGACGAATGAATGTGACTTAATTCCTCAAAACAAACAGTGAGAGATAAATGAAGAATATTATAAAGTGTATCACATCGTATTAATATTATTTTGTAAACATTGCTCTTAATTTAAGATAATATTATCCTGTGTTGCAAGGACTTTCCTGTGTTACAAACATAAATTTCACGTGGAAAAACACCCAGATGCAAAACAACCAACTGTGGGTCACACAAATACTTGTCCCGTGTGGGAATCGAAGCCACGACCCCCGACGAAACCATTACCTTGGCGATTACGACGCGGAGTCATCAAAATATACTGAAGGATAAGCGGGATGTTGTGTGTGCGCGACACTTACCTGAAACAAAGAGTTGTTATGTTGTTAGTCAATAGTTACACTTACAGGACAAAAGTTACACTTAGTCTAACTACTAAAACTTGTTGATGGATCGTCACCACAAAAAGATTTTAAGGTAAGAAAGGTGAAAGTAAAATAAGCTAAAACTTTTCTGCTTCGAACAGTTGAAATTTAAACACTGTTTCTTTTTTAAATACGCCTCTGCACAATCATGTTTCATAATTGCAAATGGCGACGACCTTTGAAATCAGCGTAGTTTAATTGAATTTAGAATAAGGGCGATTTTAGTCACATTTCAGATATGATATAAACATATGTACGATAAACTCATAGGTATTAAATCAATGCATATTATAAAACTGTCTTTGTATGTGTGTCTGAACGCAATAAATTCCAAGCCACCAGAATGCATTTTCATATTGTTTTCAACACTGGAGGAAAGTTTAGAAGTGTAATTTTATTGCAAATAACGAAAAAAAAAAAAAGAGTCTGCCACGAGGATAAACCATAATAAATGAATACTACACAATAAATAAGCGTTCATTTCCTAGTTCCCATAATACAAGCGTTGATTAGTTTGGGACAAGAGAAAGTTTTGTAAAAATGTGTCCTAAAATAAAAATATTAGTACATTAATACCTATCCTACCTATATGTACTAGTTTCTGTCGATTTTTTAAACAAGTGTAATTACTACTATAAGAGTCGCTAAAGTCCCCTACGAATTACACTACTTCCTATTGTTACAAGGTTACAACTTGACAAGTACTAAGTTTTGAAATATAGGTGTGGTTATTTTAAACTGTATCCGGGAGATTGTAGAACATTTGACTTAGGAGACATATGATATAAGGTTAAGTCCAATTTGCTTTTGTATCAGATCCCGGAGGGTAGAATTTACGATTTTCTGATCTCGAAACTATTTGATAGAGATATGATGATCCTCACCGATTCCTACAAAGTATAACAATGAACCGTTGGCGATGGAAGAGTCATTACGTCATAAAATATACAAAGGTTGGCGTAGCAACGTTTTATTAGATTCGGTTGTTAGAGCATTTTATGCTTTCTTACACAGCGTTATGACACATTCTGGAATAACTGTATCTACATGGGGTCACTTTATCCCTTTTCGGAGAAATCCAAATGGATCAGTTGGTTTTTTTATGATATGATCCCATAGTGTTGGTCGAATTCTATCATCAGGTCAATGTTAAACGTCTTTTAATGGTGCCATCATTCCTTTCTTCTGGTTTTGTATTATCAACGGGATGGTGTAAACTAGTCTTTTATAAGCGGTTATATAGTCTCAAGTGATAAAATCACTAAATTACTGAAATCCTCTTTAAATTAAAGCATTATTAATAAGATTCCACTTGATACGAGTACGCAATTAATGCACTAATTTAAGTCAACGTGACACGATAGTTAGAATAATACAAGCTCCAATTTAAGAATTTATGTAATGTTCATAGATTAAACGCCTGTCTCATTAGCTGATGTAAATCACCCCCGGCTTATAAGACAGAGTCAATCACGGTCAACCCATGTAGAACTTAATTGCTTCCGGGCAGGTAAAATTGAACGCAATTAATATTTTCAGTAGAAGGATACAATTTACCAATAGATGTAGAAGGTATAGGTGTATCAAGAGTGACTGATTGGATTTTTAATTGAAAATCGTTATTGTTATAGGTTGTCCTTCCTACCAAAAAATTCTAAGAAACAAAAAAAATATTTGTAATATGCATTTTTATCAACTTTATAAGATAATGATATCAAAAGAAAGAAAGAATTGAGTCATCAGGTGCGTTGCCACCTTAATAAAACGGGTCGCACCACCCACCTCCAGATGAAACGCAGAAGTATAACAATTTCACTTTACACTAGTATTTTGTGAGGTTGTGGTACTTCCCAGAACGGATCAGCCCATTCGTGCAACGGCGAATATCTTTTTGGTATCTTTTAGATAAACATCGAAGCGTATAATCGACAACAGTTTGTCGCATCCTGAAAGGTTAGCAAAGCTTCAATACTTCACCAATATTACACAGAGTATATTCAAATCTACTCTTCGTCTAAATTACGGTACATTCGTCATCTTTTAGATCCGACGGATCGCCTCGAACCGCCTCACCACAAATGTCGCCAGTCGGCTAGTGCATATTAATCGTCGGCGAGTAATAAATCATCACTTTTATGTAAACTAGGCTTCTCTAATAAGCGACATTTCTTCAAAGATTAAGTTCATTTAATATTTATATTTGTTCAAATGATGACGTATTATCTGAATATTGTACATAGTAGAAAAAATATTTTACAGATTTCATCGCCTTTGAATTTAATATTTCGTCGAAGTTTTGAACGCCTCAACAAGTTTGTTCCGCGTGTTCCACATAGCGTTCCAAATTATTGAAAGTGATATCAAATCAAATCAAATCATTTATTCATCGAAATAAGAAATATACATTTTTAAAGTTTCTATAGTGCTAATCTCTGCACTAAAGATTGAACATTAAAACATGTAGAAAATATACATTTTATCTATCGATAGTCATTTTTTTAATCTACCACCGTTTCGTAATGAGGTTCCTCTAACGGAGAAGAAACAGGCGAAATAAACCCCGTAGGTATCCTCTTTTTTGTCACATTTGTCAATAAATACATTGTTATACAGTACATATATTTTTTTTTAGCTTAGGAGCGATCATCTCATTCCCAGGAGTTATTATCGTTAATGTATTCGTTTATATTATAATAACCCTTTTTAAAAACTTTTTCTTTTTTTCTTCTTAAACCTATAGATAGGCTTTGCACATTAACTGGGATTTTGTTGTAGAAGCGTATACACCGTCCCATGAACGAGTTACTGACTCTATGGAGTCTAATAACTGGCGTTATAATAGAGCTTGTGTTTGTTCCTAGTGTTTACATTATGTACATCAGTATTCTTATTAAAATTATTTATTTATATATTTATATATTACATTTTCATATATATATTGAGAGGCCAAGGTTAAAATATTTATTTCTTTAAATTTCTCTCTCAGAGATGCATTCAAATTAAGATTGTAAATTGCTCTTATGGCCCTTTTTTGTAAAATAAATATTGTTTCAACATCGGCTGCATGCCGACAGATACAAACATTACACAGACTATCACTTATTAGACACACACGCATAATACATACACTTTTCTTTATTGTGTATTGATTTTGAGAATAGATTGATATTGTTCAAACACCCAAGTGGTCGAATTTCGACCACTTGGGGTCCATTAGTATAATATAAATTTACAAAATTTCTCTAAGTGCTTTTTGAATATCAACAAAATTATAGTTTATATTGTTATAACATTTCGCGTTTTTAAACTCTACGATGACCTTTGCTGGAGATTGGGCGGAGGATTAAAGTATGAAAATACTTTAACTCTAAGCCCCTCGGATGCGACCGAGGCTTTGTGTGAGAGATTCCTCCCGAGAGAATTTCATTAAAGAGAACAGAATAGCTTATCAAAAATGTGATTATGATACAAACAGATGATAACATTTAATCTGGAAGTATATTTAATTTTGCTTTAATTAATTTTAGGAAATCATAAGAAAAATTATTTCTTTATTTTTTGTGTCCATACCATGTCAACCCATCACTTTTTATTTTCTCAGTCTGGTGCCACTTTCAACCTTTCTCTTATATACTCATTGCTGATCTTATCCTTCCTGGTCACTCCTAGTATCCATGTCAAATTCGCATCTCTGCCACATACATTTTTCATTCATATCCATACATCAAGACAGGTCTCACCATAGTCTTGTTAATCTTCCTTTGAGTTTAAGGGGCATTCGCGAGTAACATGTAACTCCTGAGGCCTGTCGCTATTTTATGATCATTAATGTCGTTTAATATTTTAATGTTGATTAATATTCGCTATTTAAACACCCTACATTTAATCTGACGGATCTGGGTCGTGTCTTAAGTATTCCGCTGAAAATAAG